TGACCGAACGTTTTTGGAAAACTTTAAGAATTTCTTTAAATTTCGGAAAGACGAAGGAATTTTACCGGTTGACAGGTTCATACCTCTCCCATTTCTAAATCACTTTACTTATAGGTACTTTGAAGTTATGGAAAAAGCTAGGAAATACTGGGATAAGGATAATGCTATTGAAGATCCAATACATATTCCTAAAAATTTAAACCCTGCTTAATATTACGCATACAATTGCAAATTAATATTATAATATTCTATTTACTTATTTGATATTATAAAAAAAACTCTTTTTTATTGTAATTTATTTATTTATGTAAATATCAATTCTTTATTATAATGTCTATATAAAATATATAATTAACAAGAATCTATATTTCTCAATTTATATGAGTTGAATACTAGTTTATTAAAATAACTATTTAAACTATATTAGAAAAAAATTTTAAAGTAATATATTGTTTATATAGTAGTATATTAAACTATACAATTAAGAAAGGCAAATATGATTTTTGAAAGAAAACAAAAAATAATTTAATAATTAATAATTAATTTTTTACATCATATTTTTGGCTTATCTAACTATAGAATTAGAAAGTGTTTAATATTGAAATGTGCCTTTTTATAAATATTTCAAAACTGTAATTTTTTGATAATATGAACTATAAAATCTAGGAATTTTTAAAATCAAATAAAATATAATTCTAATAGACTTAAGTTTTCAAATATAAAAATATTAATATTAAAAAAATATAATTTCTAAATATTTAATAAGTTATAGAAAGTTATAAATATACTATATATTAATATTTATATTAATAATTTGAAGAAATTATTTATTTAATATTAATATATAATAGACCATTTTTATTATTTTTATTATAAAAAATAAAGTAAATATACTGTAACTATTTTTCTATTTTTGCTATATTACTATCTGATTATATAACATTATTAAAAATTTCTAGAATATCTTTAAATATTCCAAAATATTGAAAACTTTCTGAGGTTTTTTAAAATTTTATAAAATATTATATTTCAAATATTATAATATTTTCTGATATATATTTTTTTATTTTTTATTATGAATTATATTTATATTTATTTAAGAATCTGAATATTATTAAATATATATAATATTTATAATAATAATATTTTTTTTTATATATTTTTAATATATAAGATTATAAATATAATAAAAACTATTTTGTTATTAACTTAATTTTCAAAAAAAAAAATTTTTTTTTAAATGAAAAACACTACAATATATAATATTTTATTAATTATTTAACTGTTATTATATATTTTATAGTCTTTCTTTTTACAGATTTAATTTATATCCAATACTTTAATTAACTTAACTATATTAACTAATATCAAGTAAATATGCTAATATATCAGGTAGAATTATTAGGAGATTAAAGTTTTATTTATAATTTAAATTATCTAACTTGAGTAATTCAATTATGTTAAGGTCTAACCTTATATCTTAAGTCTTAATTTAAGTTTTAATTTTCTTAATATATATTAATTCTAGACAAACTTTTTTATTCTATCTTACTTTTGACTTATATACTGTGACAGAAGAAATTATAATAAGGATATATACTTTTTAATAAATATTTTAAGAATGTTATTCTTTGATTGATTATTGTTACTAAACCTAGAGACCATAATGACTAAGTGAAACACAACTTCTTAATTTTTTAGAAGACATCTCTAAAGGTTTTTAATTGATATAAGCTGTCAAATTTAGGGATACAAATGTCAAGCAGAATGAAACTTTTAATATATAATACTGTTTGAATACTCTTTTTAAGTATTTCATATATTAGTATTCACTATTAGCAAGTTTTAAGAATAATTTGTATTGTATCAATATGTAGTATAATGAAGTCTACAATACTAAAAAATATTGTAAGCTTATAATAGAAGTTATATTAGAAGCCTTTTTTCATATAACCTTTCTTGTTTTGTTTTTATGCAGCCTAACTTGTTATAAAAATGAAGTCAATATATGGATAATTATTTTGAAGGTAAACCAAAAATTTTTAGTGTATAAATTTATTACCTTATAATTAAGAGATACTGTATATTATTTCTGTTCAAAAATTTTCAAAACATTTATATAATTTTGAATAGTACAATAATTTCAGAGCACCATAGTTCAAAATCCTAATTATAAAGATTTTTTTCAGTTCTAAGTAACTATTTAAGAAAAGACTAGAGGAATAACATTTGTTAAAAGTCCAAAAGCGATTAAGATAGCAATTTCATGAGTAATTTAGTTTTTTCTATTACAGACAGAAATTCTCTTTGATAATTATTCAAAGTATAATAAATATTTAATCAATTCTTCATATAAATAAATGAATTACATAAATAATTAAATTAGAAGTAATCTACAATTAACTAAAATATTATAAAAAGTTTGTATTTTTCTCCAACTATGAAAAACAATCATTAATAATTATGAACAACTAAATTTATAATTATAAAACTTTGATTTATTTTAATATTTCTTTGATTATTTTCTTTTCTTTTATTTTGTTTTGTTTTTATTTACTTTTATTCAATAGAAGCATCCTATTTACAAAAAGTCTAAATTAACACAACTTTTATTTTATTTTTTTAAAACAATAATAATATACAGTAATTTATATAAATTTCAAAATATTATTTATTTATTTTTTATTAATATATTTTTATACAATAAATAAAATCAATCAATCAATTAATTAAAAAAAATAATATGTAAATAATAATATAAGGTAAAACTTGTATGGAAGAAAAATAGCTAGCTCCAAAGTCATAAATAACTATTACTTATACTTTGAATTTTACCTTATATTATTATACATATATTTGAAATTAATTTTAAAATTTAAAATTTAATTTTTTTGATAACTAATAATTAAGTTTATATGTTTTGTTAAGATTTATTAAATATTAAAGAAATTATTATATAGAATATTATTTTTTGAAAAATTTAAAATTAATTTCAAGCACATATATAAAGAAAATTAAAATTCCATTGGAATAGAAATATTGAATGTATTTTCTATTCTAAAAAATAATTTTTATTTATTTCTACTTTCTATTATTTTTGAAATATTATTATTATTATTATTTTTTGATGATGCATATTTTGTTTTTCTTGTATTTTTTGTAATTTTAATTTTAAATAAAATTTCTTTATAATCTATATTATTAAGTATATTAAAAGTAAAAGCATATATTTTTTCATTAATTTTTATAAATAATAAATATGAATGAAAGTTATTTATTTTTTATTATTATTTTTTTTTTTTGCAAAAGGCATTAAATGCGAGACATTTATTAAACTTTCGTTTTTACGTCATTACATTAAGAATCT